TCCATCTGATTTAAGACCGAAAAACATCTCTCCCCTCTCCGGAAACCTGGACGCATACGTTATTTCTGTAGAATAATTTATCGACCTCGAAATTTTTGCGACTAAGAGGCAAAAAAGTCACTGTCCTCAAATCTGTTTTTTATTCTAAGTCGGAGGATTTTTTGCCTGAATCATCCATCTTCGCCGGCAAAGTAAGTTACCGCAAAATCTGAATTCTAACGAAGAGTGAAGTTGGAAAGTAAATTTTTTAGCTCTTTTGATGTGAGGACATAACTGCACTCTATGGCGGTCCCCGCTGTCCGTATAACTCTATTGCTTCCAGGGCTCACGCCAGAATGGAGTTTCGCCCTTTCGCTAGAGTAGTCACGGAGAAGGTGCAGTGGCGTGGCGTGAATGATCGATTATCGATATTTTCTCATTTGTACGTATGGTAAAGAATCGATTATTAAGGTGTTCGCTGCGAACACCCTGTCTATCGATCCTTTCCCATAGGTTTAAATGGCAAATCAATCGATATATCGCAAAGCACGCCACGCCACTGGTAGTCACGGGGAAGGTGCTGATCTGAACTTAACCTTTCTTCTCATTATCTTGAAAGCCTCGCTCTCAATCGCAATGTAACCTACGTTGCACGAAATTCTGTAAAAAGTCTAATGCTTTTAATTCTCTTAATGCTCTTAATTCTCATTGACACAATGTATGTCAATATTTTAGGGGTGAATTTTATCATTTACATTTGTGTGTTACATGCAGTGTGTATAATTATAACAATTTGTTAAATGGTGCAGAAAATATGGTTCGATGGCATAAGACTAAAAAAAATGATTTTCAATTCATTTAAAATTGAAACATTGAATTCAAGAGCGCAGCGCCAAATTCAAAAGGACCTAATTTAATTTAAATTGATAATCTTTTTTGCGCAGTTTGCCTTCATAGTGAACCGCTTTGATGAGAAAATAATGGTTGTTTGTGATGGCAAGAGCTCTACTTCGACAGGATTCACGGAAATAAAATATGAGTAAACTGCCAAACAATTATTGATAATTGTTAATGTTTAAAGAAGACATCATCTTGTTTTCTCTACCCCGTATTTAATCTCTTAGTGAGTAGTTCGTCTTTGAAGTGATTTTAAGTGATTTATTTTGTAGTTGAACAATATGAATTTAATCTGTTCGTCCAAAAGTACGATATTCAGTTAACTTTAACAGATCATAACCTAAAACGTCCTTGATATAGAATATGAACAAAAATTAATATTCAAAGTTACAACAACGCCGTAGTATGGAAGTTATATGTTTTCAATCTACACGTTTTTATTTGATGATAATCGGAGAACTAACAATTTTATTCACTGAATCTTGTAATGCCAGGGAAAAAAAGAAACAAAAAAATTAGAAATATGAATGCTGCAAAGCCGGTCCGTTATATAAACCTACTGATTAGTTTAGATTAGACAACATCCTGGAAGTGTTCACCAGGATTAGTTTTCTGGTCTAAAAATATTTCGAATCCCACCCTTGTTATTTGGATTTTGAAAAAAAAAGTATCCCAGATAAAAAAGAGTCTTACAAACTCCCTCACGTGTTTTAATAATATGATTGAGTCAGCTGGAAGGGAAACAGAAATACTCTTCCGATCAATTTTATCAAGCAGAGTAACTTCGGCGTTTCTCGACGGAAGAACGTAACTAAATATGTCTGTTCAATTTTTGTCCAAAATATTGCTTATTTTCACGTGCAAATAAAAGAAAAATCTCTGAGGTTTTTAGTTATTCAGAAATAGCCATAAGTCTTCTTATGAAAATGTATTTTGCAAGTGAAAATTTTAAAACCAGTTGTGAGGTGTGAATGACCGATTGTCGATATTTTCCCATTTGAAAGTATGGTAAAGAGTCTATTATTAAGATTTTCGTTGCGAACACCCTGTTTATCGATCTTTTTCCACAGGTTTAAATGGCAGATCAATCGATTTATCGCAAAGCACGCCACGCCACTGTTTGCAACATCCAAATTTAGTTACGTTCTTTCGTGTGGGAACGACTTGTCGTACTTAGCTGGAGCTCGCTTCGGGGGGAAAAAAATAAAAGCCGGGAAAGGCTGATAAATAATATATGAAAAAAAGTACAAACATTGGATAATGTAGGTGGCAACACACTGTTTGTTTTCAATATCGCGTAAGCCCCTATCGACCGTTCACCGCAGACACCAAGGTAAGCGGACCGTCGCTGAATAGCACGATCTTTTGGCACTTATGCTGTTTCGGCACGGATCGGGTAATGATCGACTGTCTTTTGTCGCAGGAGAAAACCAGGTCTTCCGCATTTTTTATCGTAAGGTAAACGTCTTTATTCGAGCGCAAATGCACAATTATACGCCAGTTTCTTCGATTCGCCCGAGTTGTGTTTCCGCGGTTATTCAGGTTTTTGCGAACCGATCGAAATTTTCCTCTCTTCTCAAATGCTTCCTCGAATGTTTAATCTCTTTGAAACTTTCACACTGAGGATTCATCAACAGTGGCGCGGCGTGCTTTGCATTACAGATTGATTTGCCATTTGAACCTATGAAAAAGGATCGATAAACAGGGTGTTTGTAACAAACCTCGTGATAATCGATTCTTAACCATAGCTTCCAATGGGGAAATATCGATAATCGATCGTTCATTCGCCACTATTGATGTGCCGAAGAGACATCAGCCGGCACACTAATAGAGGGGTAGAATTTTGAAACATCCCTAAGATTGTTTAAATGGTTTTTCTAATCCAACTTTCAGTCTACAGTAATCCTGGTTGTAGAGTTTCAAAACATCTTCCAATAAAAATCTGTATAAAAGAGGCACTCAAATCCTACACCGGAAAAAAAACACATTGGATCTAGAGTCCAGACTCTTAAAAACATCGACAAGAAAAAATACTCTTGATTCAATCGAATTTTTGCTTAAATCAAGAACCAAGCCTCTTAATTTAAGCGGATTTTGTTTTGATTCAAATTCGGAGCAAAAATCCGATTGAATCAAGAGTATTTTTTCTTGTCAATGTTTTCAAGAGTCTGGACTCTAGATCCAATGTGGTTTTTTTTCCAGTGTATGATGAAAAGCACCATGCTTGATCTTAGCGGCATTACATGCCGCTCGCACTAGATTTTGAATTTCCACCCTTTATTGACCTAGCGCCATAATTTGGATCTTAATGTACGACATTAATCAACATTTTCAGGCCTCTAGAGGGGGGCTATGTCCAAGGGGGAGGGAATGGACCTTCCTCAATTACCTGCAAGAATATCAGTGCAATAGGTCATTCATAAAAAGAGATAAACAAGATAAAGGGGAAAAAGCGATCGAGTTTTTCAAGTTGTCCTGTCTAATAAGTCTAAAAAATGTTTTTTCATTCGAATGCACTTATGTTCCTGCACTTTATCTTCAATTATTTCTTGCTGATAGATTAATTGAATGCATCTTGATCCTCTTATGACTTCAATTTGTATGATTTAACGCATAACTCCACTTTTCTAAACCCGCGTTTAAGTCCCCGGATGCATTTCTTTCAAGGAGTCTTTTACGCCAAGTGTCTGTTGAGCGAATACTGAAGTCTTGATTTTAAATTCGGCTCTCGTTAACTAATACTGGCTCGCAGACAAATGAACGCATCTTCATTCCGATGTCGCAACATTTACTAAATCAATCACATTTTTACAGGTTTAATTGTGCAATTTGTGTCTAAAACTTTCTTGATTTTTTTTAGTGTAATTTGTAAAAAAAATTAGCTATTTTTTCATCGGAAATGCCCAACAGTTTCCGTATAAAAATGCTATGGATGAGTGGAAATTTTGCAACGTTAAGTTACGTTCTTTTGACTAGAAAAAGCAGACTTTCAATGGTATTTTATGGTGCATATACCTTTACAAATTAACGAATAGAGCCAGTTATTAATTGAAGTATAACCAGTCGCTTGCGTGAGAAAATTTTTTTCTTATAATTTAATTCTATAAAAACACTGATTCGAGTGAAAATTCTCGACAATGGCTTGTTTTTCTTCGCAGCGCACAGCATGCAATATTCGTATAATTTCTTTGTTGAATTCCTCTTTTCATGTTTACTTTTACGTAACCACCACTAAATCGACCGGGTTTGGTTTACGAGGAGGAAAGTATTTTCTTAGAATAGCCCTGAACTCGAGGAAAACTAAGCCACCTCGCCGCCATCCAAATCCAATTGTTACGTTTTTTTGGAACATTTTTCACAACATTTCTCAACATGTTTTCTGCATTTTTCTGTTCTCGAGGAAATTTCCATACTTGTTCGACAAATTTTGGAATCGATCGATTTGTAGGCTGTATGCAAACCCATCGGCAGTAATAATGTCACATGGTTTTCTTCTTTTTTCCATGCCTTGGTGGAAAAACAAACAAGTGTTCCACCACTCTGAATGATACGGACTGACCCTTACTCGTTAAATTTTGGATTCTGGCACTCTCCTCCATCGGAATGTACTCAAAAATCAACACCAGCAAAGGAAAACATTCAAATTAGAGGTCGCCTAAAAAAAAAAAAAAAAAAAAAAAAAAAAAAAATAGTTCGGTCTTATGAACTGAACGCTCGGTGTTATCATCCCAAATATTTGTTCTGTCAAACCGAACTTTCGGCTCATTTGACCGATATTATGAGGTAAAGTAACATGAAGTTCGGTTACACGAATTAAAAATTTGGTTTTTCAAATCGAATAGTTGGGACGCGGAGAAAAAGTGTCAGGGGTTATTCCCTGAAATGATGGTACAACCCCAATTTGTTAGATGATATGGACATTTCGAATCAATTTTGGTAGTACCGCTAAATTTGGATTATCAATCTAATTTTTTGGAAAACTACCACGATTAATTGAAAATGTTTAAGTTGAGAATCAACCACTACCTCTTTTTCCCATGGTTAATATTGATCACTAAACTTCCAGTTCATGTGACCGAATTATTGAAATTGTTTTTAAAAATTGTGTTGAAAAAAGAACTTACCGAAAGTCAGAGAGTTGGTAAAATCTCAGGAACGTATATCCTCGGTCGTTAGGGCGTCCCGGTCCTGATCCAAAACCAGGGGAACGTACACAACGGAACAAAAAAACAAAACGAAGTGGCAGAAAAAAAATCCGAGCAACTCTACTTTACTCTGTCTGGCACTGTCCTCCGTCAGAACACTCAGAAACATCAACACCGACAAAAATCGCACTCAAATTCGCAAATCAGAAAAAAAATCAGTCAAGAAAATATTCGAAAAAATCTCGTTGAATCAAAAAATTGGCAAATCAGAAAATAATCAGTCGAGAAAGGGTTTGAAAAAATCTCGTTCCAGAGTTAAAAAATTTGCAAATCAGAAAATAATCAGTCAAGAAAATGTTCGAAAAAATCTCGTTAGAAAATTTGCAAATCAGAAAATAATCAGTCGAGAAAGAGTTTGGGAAAAAAATCTCGACTCAGAGTTAAAAAATGGCAAAAAACAAAATCCGAAATTCGGGGCACTGTTCGTGGGGCCGGGCCCGAATCGACTGGTGCTCTAGGCCGGGATGGCACCCCTATCGGGTCTATGAGCTAGCCGTGGCGGCCTTGGCGGGTTCTGACTCGACAGATGACCGGCTGATCCGCGGCGAAAACCGCGCTGATTGGGATGCGCGGCTATCAACGATTTCCAACTTGCGCTCAGCACCCGCTTGCGTCCGGAGATCCCCGATCACTGAATCAGCGAGTCAAGTTCACGCCGCGGCTGCCAATGTCGCCGGCCCCCCGCGCTGCCCCCTCGCCCCCGCAGCTAGGATTTTCCCGCTTTCCGCAAGCTTTTTGCGAGTTTTTTTGCAATTTTTTCTCGCGCGCCGCGGTGGGTGATTCTGCTCGGGTTTTTTGCTGCCTCGTCTTTGCGGATTTCTAGGTCGTAACGATGCGGTGTTTTTTGTGGGAAGCGAATCTTCGCACGTCCGAGTGTCGTCAGGAGGAAGAAATGAGGATTCGCATTTTTGCGGTGTAAGTCGGCAATCACATAACTCGGTTTGCGACGTCGCAGACTGGCGGTCGTCCAGGGTGTCCAGCATCAGGATTTCCCCGATTTTCCCGATGCTACACTTAAAAAATAAACACAAATTGGATCTAGGGTCTAGACTCTTAAAAACATCGACAAGAAAAAGTACTCTTGATTCAATCAGAATCTAGCTTAAATCAAGAACCAAGCCTCTTAATTTAAGCGGATTTCGTTTTGATTCAAGCAAAAATCCGATTGAATCAAGAGTATCTTTTCTTGTCAATGTTAGCAAGAGTCTGGAATCTAGATCCAATGTGTGAACCAGAAAGTTTTTTTCCGGTTTATAAGAATTTGAATCAGTTAGAACGAAAACACGCCAACTCGTAAAAATGAAAATAATGAGGACACACACAAAACTGTACGGTAGGTGAAGAAGTAAGTCCAAGAAGAAAGTTTTGGTGCCGAAAGACAAGTACTTAAGGACACTTTAAAGGTCCAAGTTGGAACAAATTCGCTAACCTCAATGACCTTACTGAAAATGGACTGTCCTTGGTGAAAATTGAGGATTTTAGAATTACCGAGTTGGTGTGTTTTCGTTCTCACTGATTCATTTAAGGTCAAACGGGGTCGCTACCGCTCCTAGTAATCAGGATTTAATCCTAATTTCATCAGGATTTGAGGAAAAATCGGTCGTAAAATCAGGATTTGAGAAAAGTCGGCTGTCTGATCGGATTTTTTTAATGCTTTCGCATACGCTTATGCAGAGATTTTACTTTTTCTCCGCAAAAGATCATGATTTGATAAAATTATGAAATCAGGATTTAGCAGTCAAAAATCATGAAAAATCAGGATTTCCCAAAATGGAAAAAAACTAGACACCCTGTGTCGTACTTTATTTTTTAAACGGAAAACTACTCAACGGAAATTCTTCAAAACTTCCGTGATTTTTCTTCTCTGTGCGAAGAAAATTCTGCAAAAACTTCAAGGAATGGTGTCAATTTGTTCTCCTTTTAAAAAATAACACAGAGGCGGAGATTTTCAGATACCGCAAACGAGATATGTGATTGCGGACTTACGCCGCGCCGTCGATATCGGTCGCAAGACAGCAGGACAACATGAAGGTTTTATGTGCCGCTAGTTTCCCCATGAAGATAGGTGTTTTGTTGATATTGTATCAGTCAGAAATAGTTGTTCCCTATCACGTAATTCATACAATTGATAAGTGCAAAGAAGGTAGCGGATCCTTTGAACGTTGCAATGGTCAATTTTGCTCTTGTATTTTTTGTTTATCTTTGCAAATATTCCAGTCGTAATGGTGCTGTGTTTTTTGTGGGAAGCGAATCTTCGTACGTCCGAATGTCGTCAGGAGGAAGATTATTGGTTTCGCGTATTGGTTGTTGCATTAAGCGGAAAGGAATTTATGTGTTTTTAGTTTTCTCGTGCAGATATGTGTTTTTATGGATGAGCAAGAAGTAGTGGTTCCCTATCACTTAATTTTACTCCCATTGGACCGCATTAAGCAGAAAGGAACCAAACTACATTAGATATAGCTAAATTTAAGTGGGCACTTTAATTTTTTAACAAGAGAACGTTTGTGCGGATGTTTTTGAAATTTTTAAGGAATTTGCATCGTACTGTGCGGAAAATTCACCGAAATTTGCACAAAAAAAAATTTGCAAAACCGTTTTCTCGTAAAAAATTATAATGCCCCATTTTTGGCAATAGCTGATGGCGCTTGGTTCCTTTCTACTTAACGTGATCCATTTATGTATCATTAGTTTTTCCCATGCAGATATAACTGTTTCTATGGATGAGGTAGAAATACTGGTTCCTTATCGCACGTAATTTTGCTCTAATTGGATGTATTGATGCTAAAAGGAATTATGTGCGTAACGTACGCGTGCAAAATAGGTGTAAGATAAAATAGGTGAGGTTGGTGGTTTTTGCATTAATCCTATGTGTGCATCTAAACACTCTGAAGGAAAATATGATAATGGATCCGTTGAAAACTTTTGCTGAAGCATTTTGCCAAAACCTTTGCATATTGCAGCGAGTGATTGTACTCCGGTTTTTTGTATTGTCTGGTTTTTTAGTCGTATCAATGTCGTGTTTTTTGTGGGAAGCGAATTCTCTCCCATCCGAATGTCGTCAGAAGGAAGAATTTGCACATCAGTCGTAAGATAGCTGGACTAAATTGAGCAGAAAAGAACTTATGTGCCGTTAATTTCCCGACGCAGATAGGTGTCTTTGATGAATCAGAATTTAGGTTTCCTATATTGTGTAATTACTTGGTGCGTGCACTGGGCGCAAAGACGATAATGGATCTATCGCAACTTTTTGCCAGAGCAAAAGAGAGGGAAAATGGCTTAAAAATTACGATAAGCGCATCGGAAAAGAGTGAAATCTACTCATACATGTAACTTCGCCGTCTGCGAAAAATTGAGCTTCTCGCTTCAAGAAGTATAAGAAGGTCATGAGGGTTCGCGAAATCAGGCGTAAGATAGTTAACCTTAATGTTGAAGCAGTGAGTAGTGAATATTCGGCAATGAACCAGATCTTGGAAAAGTTATAAGGGTTTTTTTTTAAAAAAAATTCTTTCTTTATTTATTTAAAACCACTTTATTGTAAAATTCTACACTACTGTATAACAAAATTTGTATTACCATCATTGCAGACGTTTGCATGGTAATACTTGCGAAGGACCCTGTATTCATCATAAGAGAGACAGGTTTTACGAACCTCCAGTAAAATGTAACAGTTGATTTTTTTAATAGATCCTTCTGGGGGATTAAAATATAATGTCAACACGAAAAATGTAAATTGGGACTGATATGAAATTGCAAATTTTGACAATTTCAAAGTAGGTCCGAACTTAAAGTTTGTCAAAATCACAGCACTGGAAAAAAAAAAAAACACATTGGATCCAGAGTCTAGACTCTTAAAAACGTCGATAAGAAAAAATACTCTTGATTCAATCGGATTTTTGCTTAAATCAAGAACCAAGCCTCTCAATTTGAGCGGATTCCCTTTTGATTTAAGCTTAAATCTGATTGAACCAAGAGTATTTTTTCTTGTCAATGTTTTCAAGAGTCTGGACTCTAGATCCAATGTGGTTTTTTCCAGTGAGGAGCAAGAGACCGCTTTTTAAAACTGCTGGCAGTTTAAATTAGTTTGATATCAAAAAATCTGTAACCGATTATTAAATGAAATGATGCCGAGATATGGTTCACTTGAAACTACGATCCAGACTAGCATTTTCCAAGTCCCGCGAAACATTCCACTTCACCTTTGATGACACGAATCTGGAATGCAATTGCTCACTGCAGCTCCATTTTTCTGCATTTTTTTACGCATTTGAGAATTTTTTACGTATCTACATTGTTACACTCGTGAACTTAATGGTTTCAGTTTCAGAAAACTGAGGGGTCCAAAAATATAAGTAAAAACAGCTATAGACGCTCGCTTCATTAAAAAAATAAAGAAAAACATCTAAAAAGACTTTAACGATAGGTTAGAAAAGTAAGAATCTTTCATTATTCTGTTATTTAATTTACACAATCGGTTTTATTAACAGTTCAAACTTGTTCAAAATGTAAAGCTACCTACAAAATCTACATACACATCTCATCTATTTTTATAATCACATCATCAATATTTGCGAAATGGGCATGTGCCAAATCTGTTTTTGCACTCGCGTTTGGCTGAAGTGTTGGCTTCTCAACAGTATTAGTAAGAGCCGCTCATAAAATAATGGAAAGACACAGTCGACTTATAAATAAAATAAAAAGATATCGTGCACTGGTAAAAAAAAACCTCTCGGTTCAAGAGTGCAGTTTCTTGTCGCCGGATTTAAGAGTCTGGACTCTTGTTTCAATGCAAAATCCGCTTGAAACAAGAGTTCAAGACTCTTAAATCCGGCGAAAAGAAACTGCACTGTAAAGAAAATGCAATGCGGCATTGGTCAAGAGGTTTTTTTTACCAGTGTGAGTTTTCCACAAATTATGCAGCAGAATCTTCACACACTGCCGCTTTCGAAGGCAAACCCAAGTCGCCCATCAGTTATTCATCTCCATGGGGAATATTTATTTGTGGTGACTGCATTCTTCCGGACTTAATCCTGTGAGAGTAACTAGTCATGCGGTCAAAGATGGAGCCAGAGCTTTCGGAAACTTCCCTCTGGAAGAAACCCAAGAAAGGTTTTTCCCGCTTCCATTCATCCTTCAATGCTGCGGATGAGTCAATATTCCCCGATTCCCGGACGCTGACTGAGACCTTACTTGCAGCGATGCAGCG